TCCCCAGTTGGTGGCTGTCCAGATGTTTTGTCCACTGGTTATCCTGGCTGAGGCTGGTGGAAGCTGAAGTCCAAAACATCTAACGGGTTCCTGGTTGGGCTTCCTAGGAAGTGCCCAGATTTTCAGATCATCTCCAGGCATACCTGCTATGGGAGGAGAAGCTATTTGTGGCTGTGGAACATCCTCTTTAGAGAGACCTTCCTGGCATCTGCGGAGACGCCAATGCTACCGTCTGGTCCAAAATTATTGGAGGAATTTCAATTATTGCGGCCCGATGAGGTGGACATGGTGCTTGGACGAGTACGTCCCATCACTTGCCTATTGGATCCTTGCCCGTCTTGGTTAATAAATAACTCCAAGCACGGGATTGGGACCTGCATCTTGGAAGTGGTTAACGCTTCTCTGAGGGAGGGTCAAGTGCCTGCCCCTTTAAAGGAGACGGTAATACGACCGGTCCTGAAGAAGGCGTCACTGGATCCAGAGATGGCCACTAACTATAGACCTGTGGCCAACATCCCGTTTCTGGGCAAGGTGTTGGAGCGAGTGGTGGCGGGACAACTCCAAGCACTCTTGGATGAAACTGATTATCTGGATCCTTTTCAGTCCGGCTTCAGACCCGGGTATGGTACTGAATCTCCCTTGGTCGCCCTGTACGATGACCTGTGCAGGGAGAAGGACAGGGGGAGTGCATCCCTGTTGGTTCTTCTGGACCTCCCGGCGGCTTTCGATACCATCGACCATGGTATCCTTCTGGATAGGCTTGCGGGTTTGGGAGTTGGAGGCACTGCTTTGCAGTGGTTCCGCTCCTATCTCAACGGTCGAGTCCAGAAGGTAGTGCTGGGGGACCATGTCTCTACGTCATGGCAGTTATGCCATGGAGTACCACAGGGCTCCATTCTATCCCCTCTGCTATTTAACATCTATATGAAACCGCTGGGAGAGGTCATCAGGAGGTGTGGGCTGCGGAATCATCAATACGCTGATGATACCCAGCTCTGCCTCTCATTTTCCACTAATCCAGGTGAGGCAGTGGCTGTGCTGAACCGGTGCTTGGCCGAGGTAAGGGAATGGATGAGGGCCAATAAACTGAAACTCAACCCAGACAAGACGGAGGTTCTGTTGGTTGGCGGATCGGGTTTCGGAGAGGGTGGATTTGACCTGGTCCTGAATGGTGCAACACTCCCTCTTAGGGATAAGGTCCGCAGCTTAGGAGTACTCCTCGACCCGGAGCTTTCTTTGGAAGCTCAGGTGACAGCGGTGGCGAGGAACACCTTCTTTCAGCTTCGGCTGATTAATCAGCTGCGTCCCTACCTGGAGTATGACTGCCTGGCGACGGTGACACACGCGCTGGTGACTTCCCGCCTAGACTTCTGTAACGCGCTTTACATGGGGCTTCCCCTGAAGACAGTCCAAACACTTCAGTTGGTGCAAACTAGAGCTGCCAGGTTGCTGACGGGGACGGGGCGTTATGTTCACATGACTCCAGTCCTCCGTCAGCTTCACTGGCTTCCCATTGAAGCCCGGGCCCAATTCAAGGTGTTGATTATGACCTATAAAGCCCTAAACAGCTTGGGTCCTGGCTACCTGAACGAGCGCTTACGTCCGTATATGCCCGACCGCCCTTTGAGATCTGCGGGAGAGTCCCTTCTCCAGGAACCCTCCATGAAAGAAATTAGGAGAGTAAGTACTCGGAGGAGGGCTTTCTCTGCGGTGGCACCCAACCTATGGAATTCACTCCCCAAAGAGGTCCGCCTGGCACCGTCGTTACTGGTTTTTCGGCGCCAGGTAAAGACCTTTTTTTTTAAACATCATTTTAATTGTTAAAACATATGATCTGGCCAGGGCAACTTCTTCTTCCTTCTCTTTTCTCCTATATTTTTATTTACTTATTTTATACTGATAATTTTAATTTTATATTTGTAACTCAATGTATTTTTTGTATTTTTGTATTTAATGGTAATTTATTATGTTCTATTGTATTTCAATGTATTTTATTGTGTTGTAAGCCGCCCCGAGGTTTCGGCAAGGGGCGGCATAGAAATGTTATAATAATAATAATAATCATAATAATAATAATCATAATAATAAAAATAATTTGGCTGAAATCCCTCTTCAAAATTATTCTGCCAGGCTTCTGGGAGGTCGCTGGATCTCCAGTCTCCCATTTTAATTAATGGTTGGTTTGGTTTTTATACAACAGGATGTTGCACCTTTATTGCATTTTTTTTAGTGTGAACAAACCCTGGCATTTCTTTTTTCTGTTTAAAAAGGAAGGAAGGTCTGATCATAAATTCCTGAAACGAAATAAAGGGAAATGTGCCTTAAAAGGTGCATTGCAAATGGTAGAAAGAACCCCGTGACACGTGATTCCATACAGCCCTTCGACTGTGGGATTTCTTCCCTCTGCAGTGCCTGCTCTACCACCGGCGTGATCCCCTGTGTTAAAAGCGAGCTTCTTAATTGTATCACCTTGAAGTAGCAGGAATCATTGCCCTTTACTTAATCATGGAGAGGCAGCAAAGGGGGAAACTTTGCTTGAATACCAGTGCAGATGCCCTGCCCCTGCTGGAGGGGAGCTTTTCTGTAGCTAGGCTTAAATATGCTATGGATGCTAGGAGCAGGAGCAGTTCAGTGGGGGGGGGGGGTGTTGCCTTCCCACCCAGCCCAGGCACACTGGTTTTGTGGTCAGGTTTCCCGTGTTCTTAGCACTCTTGCATTTTATTTCACGGAGGGCTGAGACAGTGCACAGGCTCGGGCATCACTGGTGCTGGATCCAGGGGCTTTCCTTCAGCTGAGTGGAGGCTCCCTCTGGCTGGGGAAGCACTGCCAAAGCGAAGCTGCAGCTGATGCGTAGGGCAGATGTGGGGACAGCTGCCTTCTCTTGGAGGCAGGCCATCCAGGGTTGTGTGGGGCAGTGGGAGGGGCCAGAAGCCAAAGTGGGTGTGGCCACCTCCCCCCCCCCCCCCCGGATCACCATTCATTCATTTATTTAAAATGTGTATGCTGCCCAATTGTGCCACAGCACCTCTGGGCAGCTCACAACACAAGATAAAAACACAATAAAAACCATAACATATAAATTAAAAGCAACAATAAAATGCAGGAAAGCATACAAAACAGAGGTCTATGGCAATTAGTTATTAAAATGTTTTTTTTTTTAAAGGAAGGTTTTTTGCCTGTCATCAAAAAGAAAGTAAGGAAGGCGCCAGGCGGATCTCCTTGGGGCGAGTGTTTCTGGTGTGGGGAGCAGCTGCAGAAAAGGCCCTGCTCCCAGTGGCCACCCCTCTCTCCTGCCTAAGGGACAGCTCACTCAGGAGGGCCCCCTGGGTAGATTCCGAGGGCTGGGTAGGCACACACGGGTGCAGGCACTCCCTTAGAGAACCAGGGCCTAAGCCGCTTAGGGCTTTATATGTCAGCACAAGCACCTTTCCCTTTTTGCTTTCTGACTTCCCCAGTTCCCCCCCGCTCCCCCTCCCCCTCTCACGTTGAAGGAAATCCACAGGAAGGATCCAATTCCCAACTCACTTGTGACATTCACCAGGTCAGTGTCTCTCGGCTTACCTACCTCACCAGGTTGTTGTGGGGATCAGATGGAGGAGGGTTGTGGAGACCTCTGGGGGACTCCAAGGCTCACTTGTATGCCTTCTGAGTTTCAGAGCAGGTGGCTCTGGAGTGCCCGGCAGCGCAGGGAGCAGGTGGCCCGCACAGGTGGTCACGGCATCATGGCCCGCAGAGCAAGAGCCTGCGCCAGGGACTGCCCAGGGCCCCGTGCAGGCTGCTCTTAGAATCCAAAGGAAAGACGTGGAATTAAACGACAATTAAAACTGTTCTAGAAAGTGTTGGCCTGGCCTGTCAATTGCTCCAGGTGTTTCCCATGCTTCTGTGGGAATGCCAAGCAAAGCAAGACCAGAGGTGGAGCCCCCATGACCAGGCTGCGAAGAATTTGGAGGCACCTGACACCAGCGTCCCACCAGCCGGGTGCCTCTTCTCATTGTTGCCGGCCTTGTCAGTCGAGCCTTAAATTTATTCATGGAACACGCCAGAGCTCAGGTGGCTACAGTGAAATCCATTTAGCAGTTGGAATCAGAGGAAAGCCATTTGACTGTTCCGTCGGCGTTGCATTACTTAGTCAACCCAAAGGATATTAATTATCCTGTGTGCTCACAAATGTAAAATCCTGAATTTATCAGGACGAGTGCATTGAGAGTGGATCTTGAGTCAACAGTAATTAACATGGAGTAAGAAAAAAGAAGAAAGATGCCCAAATGAAAGATCAAAGCTGAACCTCCTTGCTGCAAACAGCGGTAGTTTAGGGCTAATACAAGTGCCTTTAGAAAAGATGCAAAGTGACTTTTCACAACAAATCTACCTTCTATTTGTCTTTTCTATTTCTTGGAACAGGACAGATGTTCTTAAATATATCATTTTCTATTGCAGGGAAATGGATTCTATGAAGCGGTAGCTCTCACGGCGTCCCTTCATCCACCCCCAGCCCTTTTACAGTGCAAATATAGAATTATCATTCTTTATCTCATTTTGCTAGATGGGTTCGGGTGGGTGGTTTCTCTCTTCTTTTCCCTGTTTGTTTTGTCAAATGCTGTACCAATATTTTGCAGCATGCCTCTCTCCCCACCACCCAACATGTAATAATCAGGAAAGCAGCCCCAGATGAATGGCAGATGAATTGGTAAGCTCTGCCTTGACAAATGCAAGCAGAGTGCGAGTATTTATATCACATCCATTAGGAGAGACAAACGGATCCCCTAAATGCCCTGCAATTTGACAGCTATGGCATTCCGAGAAAGTGGCTGAGCTGGGCAGAAAGGGTCACTTTTGAAAAACTGTTGCAGGCCGAAGCGGTTGGGGGGGAGCACCGCCTGCCCTGTCGTATTGTAAATTGTTTTTCTCCTACCCACGCAAACACACACTCCCCACATACTCCCTTCTGCCTGTCGATTAACAATATAAAAGCCATGCTAATTCTTTGTCTTTGTCTCTAGGATATGCCAATGACTCAGACTTGGCTTTAGAAGATGCCCTGGATGGTGGCCTTCCAACAAAGCGACGTAAGTCAGCCTTTTGTGAGAGAGACAGAGAAAGCGCAAGCTGTGAACAGATTGGATTGCTGGCTGGGATTATGCATGGAGTCTCTTACAGACAGACTCTTCCCACAATTACCAGCAGCTGAAAATCAATATGGATCCAGTGTGTGTCAAAGCCAGACAACCTGTGAACTGCATGCTGCAATCTGACGGCAGTGTATTCCATGTGAAACAAATCTTCCTATCTACAGTGGGTGCAGTTTTAAGAATTGCCTTGGACAGTATCCACCTAGCACACATGTGCTTTCTGTAAGCAGCCCCCGGGTGCTGGCATGCGTGGTGCAAAGGACTTCTGAGCCTGTCTTAGAACGCCTGTGTGCCAGAAACTCATTTGTTTCTGCTTTAAATACAGTTCTTCAAATGCTGCCCTGTTGTGCTTGGTGCCGCATCCTGAATTTTCCTTTATTTTTATTTTTTGCATGGAGTCCCCAGGGTTTGTTTACCAGCCCATTGCTTTCCATGTCACAAAGGTTAAGGCTGCACACTGACTTGAAGGTCCATTGAACTCGGTGGGTCTTAGCAAACACGCACAGGATTGTGTTGTAAGCTTTGCACATTTCCTTTACTTCTAAACCTACCTGCTGTCTCTTTCCCTCCCTCCTCGCATCTCCCTGCAGCCACTCACAAGCCCCCCAAGAAGACTTCTGGTGGAACAGGTGAGTTGTTCGTAATCTGTTGCAAGACTGACAAGCGCAGTCTGTTTCTTTTGTGTGCAGCATTTCCCGTAGGAAAGTGTGGCGTTCCATGAGACTGGGGTGAGCAGTGGGGATTTCCAGGTCAGGAATAACCCTTTTTGCTTTGTGAGATAAAGGCAGGCCTTGAGTTATGAATGACCAAGTTACAAACAACCCGTACTTACAAACAAACTGCCGTAAAACCTATTTTACTTTAAAAAAATTACTGTGGAAAATTGCCATCACCATAGAGAGAGAAGAAGCAAAAGAGGGGAGAGCGTGGCCTCCGAGGCAAGCCTCCGCGCCCTGCCCATCCAGGGAGGGAAACCTCTTGGCATTTCCTTGGTGCAAAGAATCTAGGCTGGGGGGCGGCGCAGGCTAAAGAGATTCATGGTTTTTCCACTTCCATTGCTGTCCTGTCTCCCAACCTGCCCTGAATGAGGAGGGCAAACTACATGTGATCCGCTGTACATACAAAGTCAGCTGAAAGACAAATGCCCATTTTCTCAGGGATGGAACTTGTCTGTAACCCAGGGACTGCTTGTACATTTTAAAGCAGGCGGGGGGCGTTATGTAGTCTCGAGCGGAGCTAATCGCATGTGCTTTCTGTTCATGCCAGTGGCAGATGCTGGCGAGGGGTGCCTCTGCTTGGATTTCAGGGCAGGATGAAGGAATTGCACAAGGAAGCGGGTGTGGGAGGCATTCCTGCAGCTGTTGTCGCCAATGAGTTTGGCGTGTTGCTCAGTTCATATCCACACCACCCTTCATAGATGATGCACTGACGGGAGAAGAAGATGCATGTGAATGCATAATTGCTTCAGAGAACGCGATGAGCTCACTCCAGGGTTGAATGTAGGTTACGGTTGAACCTTGGGATTGCTGTTGCCATATGGGCTCCTGTGTTGTCTGAACCCTGCTATGCTAACAGGCCATGGCCCTTGCAAAGAACCATAATTGTTTCTCGGGTTGTGAACTGTGGGTTGCTCACCATGGCCTGTTAGTTTGGCTTGGTTCAGATGCATAGTCACCTAAGTTTCAGCAAATTCCTGTGGTTCAGCGGCAAGCCACACGCAACCCACACTCTGCCCATGATTGTATCAGCTTCGGCCAGTTTTCTTTTTCTATGAGCATTTTCCAAATGTATTCATCAGTTACATACATTTTGAAAATTATCAGATGTACTCCTTCTTTCATGCATATTCCCAAAGGGGCACCTTTTTGGATATAATGGTTTGGTTGTTCTGAGAATCCTCTCATATGCTTGGACATTATGCACTTGGCCACATTTGGTTCCAGGAGGTGAGGTGAGAACTGGGTAAATTCTGTCCAAAAAGCAACTGAAACAGATTTCTCATAGAACTCTAGTAAAAGACTGGCTAGGATTTCTCAGTAAATCAGTGGATGATTAGCAGCAGAGCGGCAGAGGATTCTGTCTACTCTTGATTAACAATAACAATAAGGTTTCCCCTTTCTCTGTTCTTTCTGTAAGGTTTTCCAATCCACAAAAAGTTGCAGAAGAAACATGCACTTTACCCCAGCAACAGCAGTCATGAGATGCAGTTAGCAATTTGCATGGCCCTTTGAATCACCACTTTCCACTGAATTCCTCCCCAGCCGTGATATTCTAACTTTAAAAGAAAAGAGTAGATCCCTCAAGCTTGACATCTGTGTGCTGCTCAGCTCATCAAGTCAAGCATATGCATTCAATGAAAGTGATAAAGTTGATTCTCATCCAAAATATCTAAGTTTAGATTAACAATAATGAAAGACTAGCGACTATTCTGAAATTTCTGGATTTTTATTTCCCCCAAATCTGGGAAATAGTAAAGGAGTAAAAAGATAGCACTAAAAAATGCCAGGGCATTTCTGGAGGGACCAAAAAAATGGCAACAGGAGGCCCTGGGCAGCCTGGGAAGGTCCCTTTGTTCTGCAGCTGTCCTTCTACCCAGGGCATTGAAGGACAGGATGGGATGAGCTTCATAAGCTTTTCTGACTTCTTGGATGAATGGCGAGGCCACGAAGTGCAAAAGCCTAATGAGCGGTTGCTTGTTTTTGTGTGTTCATCTGTTTGCTGAACAGGCGAATTGGATTTGCTGGACTTCTTTGACACCCCTCCAGAACGAACAACAAAACCAGCAAAGGCGACCACTGGGACCTATCCAAGGAAACCAGGCAAGCATTTGCTGCTGGACTTTATTGCAAGGGTGACCCTTGTTCGCCCACCTTGCAGACCGAAAGCCATTCTGGACCAGGAGGTGCACGACACAGTGCCTCTTGCCTTTCCTACAGCTTCCCTTTCTCCCCCAGTCTCTCTTCCCCTGTGGCTCCTGATTTTCTTTTCCCCGAGAGGGTCGGCTGTGCTCTCCCTCACTTTGGTTTGTCTCCCTTTGAGGGAGAAGCCTGTATCGCGACCCAGTATGCGTGGACCCAAGGAGCTTCAAGCTCTGCATGTAATGCGCGAAAGCAGCCTTGACTGCAGCTTGTGCTCTCACGCCGTTTTCAGCCACTGCTTGGCATGACGTCTGGGCTAAGGCGGCCCTTGCACGCAGGGTCGAGATGCTGCAGGGGCCTTTAATGGCCTGAAGCAGGACAGAGGGCCCTGGTTTGCTAGGCTGCGCCCTGCTGCCACAGCCCCAGTGGTCCCACCCTGAACTGGGCAGCTGGCGCTACCTGCAGAGGTTGCCCCATGGTGGAGACTCAGGAAGTCCACACAAGGACGGTGGGGAGAGGATACGCTCGGAACCTTGCGTCTGAACCTCCGTGTGACCGCTCTTGCTGTGCTGTACGAGGGCCCTCACGAGCCGGTCATGCGTGTGCAGTTTGTGTTATTTGGAGGAAAGAGAAACATGAACAAGACCGCACAGAAAAGCCGCAGCCACATAGGTGTCTGCCAGGTTTGCCACAAAGCAGACCCCTTCGGTGTCTGTCTGAGCTCTCCTTGTTTCGTTACTATAACCCGTGACCTGCCAGTGGCCAACTCTGAGATCATCTGATGTCGCCTCCGCTCCGATTCCATGCCACACCGTTGCCAGTTATCGAAGCCACGGCCCAGAGGGTCTGCCTGCCTCGCTTTTTGGTTTGCTGGGTGTTCCATGAGGCTGCTCCTTTCTCCATGGTGTAGTAACTTCCAGAGAAGGAAGAGCAGGCCATCTCTGTTTGTTGGTGTGGGCATTTTTCTACAACTCTCAACTGAATATATCCGTCTGTCCTGCCTGTTGGCCCTCACACCCATGCCTGCCCTCACAAATATGAATTAAAACTGTATGCAATCAGCTGAACTTCACAACTTTGTAGCTTGGCCTCTGAGCAGCTTGGTTTCTCAGCTGAAGCATCGTGCGCTTGCTTAACCGTGGTTTTCTGTGACGTCTGAATGGAGTGGGTGAGTTGAACCTTGCTCAGGGCTGATTCACATGTTCCTCGCTTGAAATTGCATCACGGAGATAACTTGCCACACAACAGTACGCCACTGCATGTGTGAATGGCCTCTTGTTGAAATGTTTTTGAGGTGGGTCAGGAAACACAGGAAACCTTTTTACCTGTGTTGGCTGTTGGATAGACGCAGGCCATAGACTGGTGGATGAGGCATGTGTGAATTTGCTTCACATCGCTTGACAGACTGAACTGAACTCTGGGAAATGGGAGCCAGTCCAGACGTTCCATGGGCTGCATCTTCTCCATGTGCTCCCTAAGCCATGGAAACGCTTTCTTCAGCCTGTATTCTCCAGCCATGTTGGATTGCACATTTCTCATCTGGCTTGGGAAGAGTGCAATAGAAATTGAGATGCTTTTCCTTGCATGCTTGGCTTGTGGCTCAAGGGGAAACTTTCCTTGTACTCTCCCATCTGCAGATGATGGCCGTTGGAATGTTCTGCACACCACCACCACCACCACCAAGCAGCCCAAAACTACCAAGCCACCTCCAAAAAAGCCTGCAGGTAAATCTTTAATGTCTAATCTTGATGGCATATGGTAGACATCAAGGACAAACACCCAGAATATGTTGAATAATTTCTTTCACTTCTTCTGGCAAAGGTTACCTTCTTTAGGAAGTCTGTTTATATATCCCTTCAAGGTACTGGAGATCAGATACCTTGCATTCATCAACGTTCCATGAGGAAGGATGAGGGGGTGAATTGCCCCTCAGATGTTGCCAGGCTGCAACTCTCACCAGCCATCACCCTTGGGTAGGATGACTAGGGCTGAAGGGCATTGCAGTCCACCCTACCTGGATGGCCGCACCTTTCCCACTGCTGGAGTGAGGTTTGGTCATCACAGCAAGCGGGAGTAAGGATGCTGCGTGTCTCATCAGAACGGAACGCTGTTGCACTGTCCCTCTTCCCGCTTCGGGGTCAGGAGGAAGCAGGGTGGTGCAGACGTGCTGTAAGCCTTTCAGTCCTTCTGCAGCTTTTCTTCACAGCCCTGGGCCTCTGTCTTTCCCCTGGATATTGAAACTGGAGCTGCATGATTGCCACTCCCCTGCTCTGCTCTTGGATTTGCAGATACACTAGACCTTTTGGAGATCTCTGGCAGATCAGCAGGATGAGGATGCTGGGTGCTTCCAGACAAGGCTTTTAGGCAGTTAGGGCAGGTGCTCCAATGCTTTCACAGCAGTGTATCTACCCTGCTCTTTAGTCTGAGCTTTACCATGGCACTCAACCTTTTAATGTATTTATTTCAGTTCTGCACTGTCCTGTAGCCAAAGCATTTTGAGTGGTTTACAACAATCCATAAAACAGACCATAGCACGCAACCAAAATATCATAAAATCAGGAAAAAAATAAAGTTTAAAACAGCTAAAACATACCATAAAGAATGATTTGGCAAAACACTTGGGGTAGGTAATGGCTCTCAAGCCCCTGGTAGCCAATGAGCCTTCAAAGGCCTCAGCATAACGGACCTCGTGCAAAAAAGATGACAAATTTGTCACCTCCCAGGCAGCAGCGGGGGGCCCTTCCAGAGATGGGGGCCACCACAGAGAAAGCCTTCCCCCAGCTGCCACCCTCCCTGCTTCCCTCGGACTTAGCACTTGGAGGAAGGCCCCAGCGGTTGGGCATAACGTCTTAGGAGATCACAGCTAGGAGAGGTGCTCCAACAGGTCGTGTGGTGCTCCACTACGTGACACTTTAGAGGTTAGAACCAGCACCTTGAATTGGGACCAGAAGCCATTGCAAGCGAGTCAGAACCCTGTACCCCAACTAATTTCAGGACCATGGGCAGCTCCCTAAAGTTCACAGCCTGGAGCAGATACGCTGCCGCCAGTCTCCACCACATTGGTGACTGAGCACCATTCAGAGTGTTATGGGAAGTCCTGATGTCCTCTTTTTTTTTTTTTTACATTAACACAAATTCTTACCAGCATCTTGGATGGAGGTGAAATTGGTTTCTTTTGGTGCTGAAAAGCATAGGCTCAGAAGAATTGCTCAGAATGTGGAGCTCCCCTCTGCCAGGTTCTCAAGTCTCCTGGGCAGGTTTCTTTGCCCTTTGCCATGCCTCCCATGGTGGCCATTTTGTGGTGGTGCCCAGGACAGTGTTGCTAAACATGCCTATGGCCCCAGAGCTTTCCTTTTCCTGCCTTACCTTCTCACAGTACCTTTCCTAACAGGCTAGATCTTTATTTGAAAACAGGACCCATACACACCCATTTGAGATGGCCAGTGATGGCAGACACGTGAGAAGGACCCATCTTTTAGGCACACTGTAAGTAACCAATCTGCTATTTTATAGCAAATGATCCAATGGATTTCAACTTAGCTGATGCTCTGGATGACCAAAATGATGGGCAAGGTGGTAGAGCTCCTAACGTCAATCCTGGTCGAGGTATGTTCATAAATTTATCTCTGGGAAATCTGTGTCTTTTCTGTTCCTCTTTTGCAGTTTGGTGGGGTGACTGCCGATAGAGGCAGCTCAGGGAGGAAAATGGCCAACTGCCAGCTGGGCCAAGCTGAGCTGAGCTAGTGGAGAGACCCTCTCCGTCCACGCAGCCAGAGCCATTGCCGCTGAGAGCCATTCTGGGCAAAGGAGAGCTGAAGCGCTGGTGGTCCCGGCCAGGCCGGTGGAGTCACACGAACTGAGTCAAGACTTTTCTCATCAGCCAAGGATGGGCTTTGGTTGCCTGAGAGCTTATGGGGGCTCAGCTTTTTAAAGTGCTATAATAAGAAAATGGATCTATTGGTTTGATTTCACCAACACCTTTGGGTGGATAAGAGAGCAAGAAAGACGGAGACAAAATAGGACCTTGGGTCATTTGGAGTAAAGTTGCCTCCATCTCCTGAGGGAGCTCTAGCCACCAAAGGGTAGCTCCACGAGGAAGCTTGGGAGGTGCTTCTCAGTGTGTCCGTGGGAGCCTGTGGTAGGAAGGACTCCTGTGGCTGGTTGTGGGGTGGTGTGGTGGGCAGCAGAGAACTTAAAACTGCAGCCGGTTTATATCTGGCAGCCTGTCTGTTGTGGATCAGGAGATTCGCTGCATGGTCTAGCCATCTAGAACGGGAGTGAGCAGAAGGTGTTTATTTCATTCGTTCATGCCCCACCTTTCACAATGTCTCAGGGCTATAATCAGGGTGGCAGATATTCTTACCACCCCTTGAAAACCCTGACCACCAGAACAAGAATCCAGAACATTGGAAGTTGAAGCCCCAAATGCCCGGAAATCTATTTTCTGCCTTCCCCTCGCCTAGTTAAATCAAAGTGAAATGTTCAATGGGTGTTCCACCATGGAGTGCTCCTTTCAGGATCCCAGTGGTCAGCCACGTCCAGCTCCACCCAAGTCCAGGCTGTGCTCCCTCTCCCCTCCTGCTTCGCCATCTCCCGCTCCATAACCAGACAGGTTCCATGGCCACCGAGCATCCTTCGTCCTCAGCGTGGGCTGTGAGGGGGCTCCCCGTGCTATTTCCCCTGCTTAAGTGTGCTTGCAATCAAGGAGTTTCCTGAAGCTAGCTCCTTCTGCATCAGTGGTGCCATTTTCGGTACAAATGAAACCTCCCCAGCAATAGAAAGAATGATAATAGTGAGAAATTCATTGCTTGAAGGGTCTGATCTTCAGCCCCCTTTAAGTCCCTTGTGCAGCCAGGTAAAATTTTGTAAGGTGGATTGAAAAGGTGTTCATTTTCCACCCCTGTATTCATCCAGTTTATGCTAGGAAAATGATCAGGTGTTTTGGTAGAATATTTATGTTATGACTACAAAATGCACTTTTTTGTGTGCTTTCATTGTATTGCAAAACCTAAATCAACAACTGCTATTTTCTGTAATTAGTTAATGAATAAAGAATCCTGTTCCAGGCTCCAAAGGTAGAGGTGGAAGAGGTGGAAAACCTGGTAAGGAGTCTTGGATTGGCTCCCTGCTGCTACCTTCCCCCCTCCCCCCATTACAGATCTTTGTTTTCTGCCTCCATTCCTTCTAAGCACTTAAAATTCTCCTTGTTACTCTTCTCCTGCCTGCAAAATGTATTGCTGGATACCGCTACTAATTTTCCCCTATTAATCAGCATCCTCCTCAATTCCTTCCTTGGATTTTTCAAGCTTCTGTAATTTTTCTTGTTTCTATGACATAGTCATAGAACTGCAGAGAGAAGGTAGCTTGGAGGTCCTTCAGTCCAACCCATTTGCTCAGTGCAGGATCCGCAATGCCAGGCACACCTGCAGGCATCTCTGCCCATCTCATGGGTTGTTTCGAATTTAGTCACTGCATGGGTAAACCTTTTGAAATCCATGGGGCTTCACTTAGTCATGACTGTCTTAAGTTCCATTGATTTTGATAGGTCTCCTAAATGGGACTCAATCTGGAATCAAGTCCAGATCTTGTGTGTTGGCCCCCTATTCTTGCATGCTACCCTTCTAAATTCTTAGTTTTGAGAAGGTCTGGAAGAAGCTGCTGTTATGAATATAAAACCGAACTGCATCAACGGTCTGGAGCCACACATCTTCATATACTAGAGTTAAGAGAACAATATGGTGGATGGGAGGTGACAGGGTATGGCCAGACTCCGCCTCAGAAGCTTTTTTGGGAAGTCATCTGTTCTCTGGGTCCACCATAGGTTAAAGCAGCACCTCCCAGGTTTTTATTCTGGGGACTGAACAGCTAGGAGACGTGTTGCCAAATCAGGAATGGGCCAGCTGGACTTCTGGTCTGCTGGCCACCATCACCGCGTTCCTTGTATTCTCTGCCCACTTTGACCAGGAAGAAGACCTGGTGCTGTATAGTTCCGGCAGTGGCCCTTTCACCTTCCCCAGCTCTTTCTCCCCCTTAAAGTTCACTCTCGAGGTGGGACCATACCTTGGTGTGATGGAGCCCCTGCTTCACATGCAGAAGGTCCAGGCTGGCTCTCTGGCATCTCCAGCTGGAGCTGGGAAAGAATAAGAGGCATGGCCAATGACACCTGCTCCAGTGCCCTCCATCAAAGACGCAGAAACCCTGGTTCGCTTCTGGACTCCTCAGGGTTTCGCTTCCTCCTCCCCACAGTCTTGCACAGATGACCTGGTCTTGAAAAGGGACACATGCACGTCTTTCTTCTGTGCAGTTGAACGCTACTTGAAGCTTCCTCCCCCTCTCTAGGTGGCCACTAGAAACATGGTGTGAATGTTTTATTCTAGGCAGCCACTCAGATATGGAGGATGCATTTTCCCTCTAAAATACTGGAAAGGCTTTAATATTTTATTTATTTAGGACATTTGTAGGCCGTCCCTCACTTGTGTCTCTGGATGGCTTAGAATATAATCTAAATCCTAAACAAAATAAATTAACTATACCACGACTGAATACATAAAATAGAATAGTTAAAATAAGTTGAATAAATAAATATACAATTAAAATCAATTAGCATTAAAATATTGGTCAAATAAAAAGGTCTTGACCTGGCACTGAAAAGCATATAATGACGGCGCCAGGCGGACCTCTCTGGGGAGCGCATTCCATAGATTGGGCGCCACTGCAGAGAAGGCCCTCCTCCGGGTACTCTGCCTCCTGACCTCTTTCAAAGGGGGTTCCCAGAGGAGGGCCTCTGCTGCCGATCTTAGAGGGCGGGAGGGCATGTAGGGAAAAAGGCCTTCCTTTCGGTATCCAATATTAATAGAATATTGTCCTAAACGGGGATAGTGAACCCACAGCATTTCAGATCTTGTTGGACTCCAGTTCCTATGAGCCTCAGCTGGCAAGGCCAAGGACAGCAGGAATTATTTCAGCAACATCTGGAAGGGCCTCAGTTTCCCCACCCATCTTTAATGGTAGGGTTGGTGCTGGTTAGCTGTCCCCCCAGCATAAAAATCTGGTCTAAGCAGTAGCAGCATAAAGTGGTACAATTGCAGATAATAGAATGGATTGTTTCATTTTAGGTGCTAGGTAGGGGTTTAGATTGTTGACCGTGTGTGTGTGTTTAAATTTCTGCTGATAGAAACTACCGCAGCATGGAATGCTAAGGTTAGACTGTTCTTTCACACGTGTAGGTTTGAATGTATGTGAGCAATTGGAGTTGATAGTTGCAACTTGCAGCCTAAATGGTATGCTCCACTTGACCTCATTCCGCTACACGTAATTGTGTGTGTTGCCGTGGTCTATCTTGTTCAGTTTGCACATTTTACTAGCCCGCCATGTAAATATTGGAACTGTTGTTGGCCCGTTTGAAAAAACAAACCAAAAAACAAAACAAACAAAAAATAACAGTTAGCAGGTCCCATTCCAGGAAATAATTTGTGCTTTTCTCACAACAGTTTGAGTAGGGCCTTGTCCATGAGGAATTCCATATGGAATCTAACGCAAGAGTTAGTTTTCCTATCCCATTGATTTCAGAGATAATCAGGCTGCCCCGTTCATTGTTCCTTCCAGGTAGTTGGCATTTATGTATCCTTAAAGCCCCCAGGAGGTTGTAATATTTGGGATGGACACTTTGTTCTCGGAAATACCTGCAAAATAAATGTTTCTAGGGTGCTTTCCTCTGGCTGCTGGAGAGGCTAGATGGCCACAGGGCAACCGGGCGTCTTGACTCCAGCCTTGGAAATTGGGCCCAAGGTTGGCACCCGGACTCGGCACTTTCAAAACCCTCCCGCTGCCCTTGCAGCAGGCTGCTGTTTCCTGCCACATGGACAAGGACACACCTGGAGAAGGTTTTCAAGGGTGGGGGAAGGGGTGGGGAGCGAAGCCAAGCAGTACTGTAGCGATGCCTCCTCCTCCTGCTCTCTTGTGCCCTGAATCGCCACACTTAGATGGTCAAAATCAGTGTTCCCCCGCTGTGCACAAGATGCTCTTAGTCCTCCAAGTTTGGGGGCAAATAGGACAGCTTTCTTGGGTAGCACTTTTATTTATAGATGTTTGTGTTTACTTAAGAACGAATAGCTGCATCTTTGACCACAAAGATCCTGGGAGCAGGTTACATGAGTACAAGTAGCAGAATATATTAATACAAGGTCACATGCTTTTGTGGCTAGGAAAAATAAAAAGCAGCACTCCCACCAGGTACAGCATCAAGCCATAGTTTGGCACTCAGACAAGACTGTTTTCACTCTCCGTTTGGATGCACTCTGAAGAAGAGGGAGGCAAATACCATGAGGATAAGGCAACCCACAAAAGAGTTCCCAGAAACACCCCATGGCATGCGTCTGTCTGCCACGCTGTGCAGAGCAAAGAGGCTATGGAGGTTTTCTGTGCATGCCATAGATGTGCATGCCATAGATAAGAACTTGTGGGGAGCTGGCAGGATCAGGCCCAGAGCCCGTCCAGTCCAAGCTTCTCTTCACACAAGGGCCAAGCAGCTACGATACATGCACACAGCGCCTCTTCTTCCGGCCTTCGCCAGCAGCCGGTGTAGAAAGGCATGCCGCCTCTGAGGATGGAGGTAGCCCGTGGCCCGCGGGTTCAGTAGCCATGGCCGGCCTTCTGCACCGTGAATTTGTCCAGGCCCCTTTAAGAGCCCCCCAAATTGGTGCCCACCCCTCCATCTTGTGGCAGGGAATTCCATGGTTTAACTGTGTGCTCAGTGACAACGTCTGTACTTCTCTCTGCCTTGAATTTCCCATCATTCAGTTTCATAAGACTGACGCTGCTGGGTTTTAGTACTATGAGAGAGGGAGGGAGAGAGAGAATAATTTTGTCCACCTCTGCCCTGTCTTTCCTTACATGTCTTTTTTCTAAGCTAAGCAGTCCCACACGCTGTAACCTTCCCTCGTAGGAGAGTTGCCCCTGGATCAGTTCAGTTGCCCTTTCCCGCCCCTTTGTCCAGCTCTGCAGTGCCTCCTTCAGGGTGCCGTGGCTGGGACCAGGCGCGCCATTCCCAGTGTTGCGGCACGGTTTGGTTGCCGCACAGACGGGGACCCTTCAGCAATTCCTTGCCTAGGTTAAAACGAACGTTGTCATTGGTCTTGGAGACCAACCTGGGGCAGAGCAGCTGCTGGAGCATCAGGGCAGTTCAGCCATCTGAGTAGGCTTCTCCCATAGGTTTGCTTCTGCATTCTGTACTGATGGCCCTCCCGGCCCCATCTTCAAGGCCAGGCCCATGTGGAGCTTTTTACAGTAGTCCAGTGCTGAAACGACCAAGATGCGCAACTTTATGACATCAGCACATCGGGTGCATTGTGTAGGCATCAGGCAGGTCCTTCCTCCACCAGTAGCAGCTGAGGTCATGAAGTGGGGAAGCCCACGACATTGCTGGATGGGGACCAGCTGTTGCAGCAGTCCGTGGAACCCAACCCCGGACTGCCTTTTCGGAACAGCTGATCCATCAGTCCTGTCACTTTTGCTTCTGCCCACATATTATTTAGATAAACGACCTGTTCAAGCATTTGAGAGAATGCATGAGGGCTAAAATGTCCTAGAAGAGTCCCTGCATCCTTTCCTGAGCACCGTGCTGCATGTTGAACGGCCAGGGCTGAACTTGCCGTACTTGTGTTCTCTGAGACTTGGAGGACCTCTCACTGGCTGGATTCAGACAACACTCAGGGGTTGAGGATGGGTTGGGACTGAACTCTGGGCATGGTTGAACCATGGGTTATCATGTTGTCTGGGCCCAGCTATGGTCACAAGCCATGACTTAGTAACCATGAACAACCTATGAAGAGAGCTTATCATTTGTTGTTGGGTTATGCACTATAGGTTCAGACAACATAATAAACCTTGCTTCAACAACAACCCAGAGTTCAGTGACAACCCACACACAACCCTTGGGTTACTGTCGTCTGAACACAGTTTGAGAACCCTGAGAAAGCTGGTTCCTGAGCGCCATTCAGATCTGGTTGTTCAGCATGGCAAAGGCTGAGCTGAGGGGACCAGAATACATGCCGACAAAGCACAAAGCCTCCCTCAACTCTACCCCTGAGATGGTTTGGCCTGCAACACCTCTCAGCACCAGCCAGCATGGCCAAGGGTAAGGAATGATGGGACCTTTAGGCTCAAACATCGGTGGGATGTAAGTTTGGGGCAGGCTGTAGCACCCACCTGGCTTCGCATGTGTTCTCTCAAATGCCATACACTTCCCTTCACTTTCAAAAACAGCTCCTTTTGCCCACTGTTAATAGAGCACCAAAAAAAGTCCATATCACTTTGAAACAGACTAATGCAAACAACTGTATTCTCATCAAAATGTTTCAGGTATTTCAGATACTGACCTGCGTGATATCCTAGATGAGGGAGGTTACAAGCCAGATAAGAAGAAAGGTAAGTTCTCCCTCTCTCTATCTCATATTGCTTAACTAAAATAACCCCAGAGGGTCAACGCCTTGCCCATAATCAATTAGACCTGCTTGTAAAAACTGTCCAGCGTTGTGAAGGAAGCTGCTTGGAAGTCTAATTGCTGCATAGGGAGGGAAGAGTTAACCAGTTAATCCAGTAGGAACATCCTTGGATCCACAATCTTGTGTTCAAGGCTTGCCTAGGAAGGTGCGCATAGTCCCAAACTCTGGTTCATTCCATTTCCATGAAGCCCAACAGATAAAGCTCTCCAGGCCCTTCAGTATGATAAAGCATCACAGAAACCTCTTAGCAGAGAAGAATTGGAAACCATTTTAAAATAGGAAAAAAACAGTTAACTAACAAGACCTAACACCTGGATCCAGATGAAGTTGTGTTGTATGAAACTAGCCATGCTAACAAACCATGACTCATTAGCCCTGAACTACAAACTATGGGTTTGCTTCATTAGTTGGGGTTTGTTGACACAGCTGCTTTCACACAACAAACCATCCACACGCAACCCTGAGTGTGGCTTGCTGTTTTGTGCGAGCCCAGCCCTTCTTGCCAGGAAGGGTTACTCCCCAGGTAAGTGTGCATTGGACTGCACCCTTGCAGTGCGGGCATAGCCATGCTTGCACAATTGATTGAAGTCCTCTCTCTCTAGCAATAGGCTCAGCTGCTGAGGTGTTATGGAATGTTTATGAACACTCCAGTTTATCAGATGCTTAGACCTTTCTGAAGCATAGGAACTGACAATGCTGTCTATTGTAGAGATGGGTTTCACCTGGCAGAAGGTACACAGTTCTACCAAAATGTTTGTTGCTTATGTGTGTGGGTCTTGTGTGTATGGTTGGGGTAATGATGTGGATGGGGAAAGGGATGTGCTGATTCCCATGTGTACCACCTCTGCTTTCCCCTGAACATCCTTCTGATAGCTGCTAACCTCTCACCTGCTGCTAGTCCATACAGAAGTTTGTTTAGATGTGAATGACCTTAGAGCAATTGCAACTACTTCACAGGGTTTTTAAAAGCCTGCTTCCTTTGTGCTTTTAATACTGGGCCTCTCGTGATCCCATCAATGTCCTCAATCAAAACCGTGAATGGAGGTGGCCATTGTGTGGAGACCTATCATAAACCCCAAGCGATGCCTCCGTGAGAGCATGTTCTGGTCCCATGTTCATAAAATGGGCGAGCCAGCTGGCTGTGGAAAGCCAATTCTGTGGTTCCTGTGAAGGCACGCTGTGCCCAGACATGCGCTTAGTCCTCCGTGGCCGGACAGCGCCTGCATTCCCATGAGAAGCCCCTTTTTCTCTTGATGGTTGACTAGTGCTAAAAAATGCACATGGCCAAATAAAACCGTCTTTGTGGCTTGTCTACCATAAAAATTGAGACCCGCGCAGCTGCCGGAGCATCCAGGTTTTGGGGCAATTGTGCTCACCTAGTCAAGCAACCGAGTTTAAGGGTGCACATTGTGGTATTTCTGTGGAATCACCAGCTCTGTGCTCAGCTAAGTTGCCATTCGGCCCCTTTTCCTAGTTGATGGATCGCTGAAGTGCTATGAAGGGAAGAAGAGACTCAGGTCTGTGCCCCTGTCCCTGGGAGTGTGTGAAGGATGAGGAGTAACCCTCCGTTTCTGCAGGAGAGTCACAGTTCTGTGCCAGGCTGCCCCTTGGAAAGAGGCCGCTCATACTGAGCAGTGACAGGCACCTCTGAAGGCCAGTGAAATCTGCCACATACCTTTGGTGAAGATAACCCCTCTGCACACACACACACACACACACACATTTCCAAGACAGCGATACAGCAAAATCATCCAGTCCCCAGCAGAGCCCAGTGGGAAGGGGGCGTGGCCAGAGTGGAAAATCATGCAGGGAGGCAATGGGCACCCTCCTTGGTGGGTTTGCTGCCTGGGGATCAAAGGAACCTGCAGCTGTCCGCTTCTATTTAATCTCCTGCCATTTGAAGCTTGCTGCCTGAAATCAGGCCCTTACAGGAAGAGACAGGCACAGCCTCTTAAGGAGCACGCGGGTGCTGGTTGGTGCCCCTCTCGTGTTTGATGCATCAGAGGATCTGCCTCGCCAACTCGCGGCCTGTCACAAAGGAGCCTTTCTTTCAAACCAGCCCGGCATTCTTTCCAAAGAGGCGGGGAGGGGGGGCGAGAGGAGAGGGAGGAGAACTGCTACTTATGCAGCAAAGTGCAGAAATGTGCAGACAAAGCTTCCAGTCTCTGCAGACCACACCCATGTCTTGACTGCGCACAGCGCTAAATTTATAATCAATCTCATTTATGGCTCAATGCAGTGCTACCGAAGCAGCAGCTGGTTAATTAATACGAGGGCTAGCAGTGTGTGCGTGTGTGTGTGTGTGTGTGGCAAGTCTGCCACTGCAGAACATCAACCACAACTTCCCGAATCAACGTATTAGAAGATAATTAAAATTGCTCCAGGATTTTTATATGCACATGCTCCATGGAATTGACTTTGGGGAAGAGAGAGTGATGCTGTGTTTGGGAGGACACAGTCCCTGCCCCCAGCTTCACCTTGCTTTCAGCTTCAAGTCATAGATCAGCTGCCTCTTGACAGAATGATTTCCATGGAGGCAGAGGCAGGGCAGCCGTGGCGTCCGGCTGAAAACACACGTGTGCATGGGAAGGATCTCTGAGCAGGCACGAGTTTCGCTCGCTACTCATGGGCCTTTCCCACTGTCTCGCATTTCCCACGAGTGTTTCTGTGGATATCATTCCAGAAACGATCCCAGAGCAGAAAGAAGTTGTATTGAAAAATAGCCCCGAGAGAGCTGCTTGGGCAGCCAGCCACGAAGAGGCTGCAGCCAGCAGACTCGGCCTGTAGTGCATGCAGGCTGCGAGTCCCGCACCCCTTTTATCTGGCAGTTGGGTGGTGCTTTGAACGAGACGGCCGCGCATGAAGAGAGCCTTTTAGTAGGAGCTCATTGGGAGAACTGTGCATGCTTTAAAAAAAGAATAAAATTAAAATTCTGCGTCCAGACAGTTGAAGCTCAGCCAGGAAAAGCTGAACTCTGTATAAATTATGCAAATAGAGCTGATACACATGCGCTGCTGTTTGTAATAAATGATTTTGCAGTTTTCTTCATCATGGGAAGGGCAGGGACACCCAATACCCACTCCAAACCACAAGAAACCACCATGGCTTTCTGCTTCAGAGAGTTACCACACATGCTTGGAATTGTATGCTTGCGGCTGTGTGGTCTGGAAACCCGTGTCACAAAGTGGAAGCTGCATTCAGAATCCCAATGGACAGTGAGCCTTGGGAATAAAAGGGAGCTTTAGATGTTTAAATGAGGAGGGCAGTGTTTGCATCCTTGGTGGCAGGTTTGCAACCAGTCACGGTGGACCTGATTCACAAAGGATGACACTTCCAAGCAGCCCCTTTCTGTGAAAAGCAGCTTCTCTCCAAGGACCTACTAAGTGGACATCTTGTCATTCGGAGCTATTTTTCTGAGCCTTCCTCCTTCTGCTTCAGTTCATCTAGAGAATGTACCCATTTCTCTTCTGGAATTGCTCGATGCATTTTTCCAAATGGAATAGCTGCACTGCTTTTTGGCCTTAGTCTTCCAGACCCTATCTGTAAAATGGGGATAATAACCCTGGCTTATCTCACAGGGTAGTTGTATGCATTGATAGGAAGGTATATGAAGGGCTTAAACATTTTAAACATAAATAAATGCCAAATATTGTTATTTCTAGGAGGCGGTGGTGGTGCTGGTGGTGGTGACAACAATTACAATGATGGTAAGTGAGTGCCATGTCTAGAAATCACAGATTTTTTTTTTCTTATCCTATAATGTATGTAGCACAATGGTCCCAACTTAGGCTTTTCCCTATGGAATCCTTCCTCACATTTGAATTTCAATTTTAACAGTAACCTCCCAGTCATCACAACTTTGAACTTTGGCCTGCTGGTTCAGAAGGCAAACCAAAGTTTAGTGTGACATCTACACCATGGTTCACCCTCCAACCAACATTGCAAAAGATTATTTGAAGTTGCTTTGTAATCCTCATTTTATGATTACCCATATTTGAAAGGGAATACTGTCCTTCATGGGCTTTTCTACAAACAGGGTCACAAACTAACCTCAAATGGTTATCTACAGTCCTAGCTTGGAGGTCAGAGACAGTGTGTTTCCCCATTCAGATTTAAGTACAGTTTGCAGAAAAGGGGAACCCACAACTGAAAGGATCTTTCATGTAGTAGAATCCTCTTCAGATATAGACAGACACTTAAGTAGGATACCAGCTGGCATAGCAGGAATGAAGAACCATCAGTTAAGGACCCATATTAAATGTCCTCCAGGCGGCATTTCAGCACCTGCATTTTGGGCTTTTGCAGGGGCTCTGGTGGAGACGGGGACAATCGCCGGCATCGTCAGCGGCCTCGCCATGGCCCTGATCGGTGCTGTGAGCAGCTACATCTCGTACCAGCAAAAGAAGTTCTGCTTCAGCATACAGCGTAAGTGGTCTCCCTGCTCCGAGAACCAAGTCTGGCTGCTTGGTGATGCTCCCAGAGCCAGTATGCTCCAATCCCCACCACGGTCTCACGCGGGAAGGAATTTTGGGAGCCGAAGTGGAGAATAGTGCGTGTGATGTCCAGCTTTAGAAGAGATGGTGGTGTGAAGCTGTCAGTCCTTCACTGGCAACAGCAGGCAGGAGGTGGGAGAAGTGACAAAACCATAAAGGATGGTGATGGGGTGCTTTACCTGGTGCGGAAAGATACCTGCTCCATACCTGTGCCTGCTGTTCCCAGCTAGTTGAAGGCAGAGACACCAAAGAAGCCATTTTCTCCAGGAAGAGGACAAGGCCGTTGCAACAGCGGAGGTGTGGGGAGGCTGCAAAGGGATGCCAAAGCCACGCTCCCTGTACTACAAAACTCAGCAGCTGCCATGGGTGTAGGGAGGTGTCCTTTCGCAAATGCAGTTATTGGAGGCGAGCAGGCCAACGGGCCCGCAGATCTGTTCATGCCGGGGGATGAGTGCTGGCCGGTCGCATCCCTAGCCAGTGCTCATGCTTCTTTGACAGTTTCCTGGAACACATGGCCCAGTGGCCATTCCACAATTGTTCATGCATTGCAGTTTAAACCTACATTGGCCAGAACGTATAGTCCATCCAGAACTGGGTTACTCCTGTTCTTTCCTGCCGGTGAGGCATCCCAGGTTAAGGTGAACGGACCATCACCTATGGAAAGGCCCTTTGAGCAGGTTTCCAGAGGACCTGCCAGCGTCCTCGTGCTCTTGCTGTTCGGGGGACCTCGACAAGCCCCTGGCAATGCAGGGCCGTGTCCTGCCCCGTGGAGTCAGGGGTTGCGAGAGGCCAGCTTTCAGCACTGCTGGCCAAAAACCAGGAACGTGAGGACTGTGCAAAACGAGGCCACAGCCTTGCCTCTCTGCTGTTGCTGCTGGTGGGGAAAGGAAGTGCCCCATGTTGCAACCCATCTGCTGTTTTCACAGGGGTGTCTGAAACCAACAGGTGTGCTTCTGAGTGCATCAGTGTTCAGGAGAGAGCAGGAAGACGTCTGCCCCCAGCTCCACCGGCGTGGCTTGTCCCTCTGCCCTGCCAGTGATATTTTCCAGAACAAACATTTAATGCTTTTATAGGAAAAGCTTTGATAGAGGCAGCACTTAGGGAAAGCAAAACCCGAGAAAGACGGCAGGAAATTAAAGTTAATTATAAAGGAGGATTAATTTAAGCCATCAGACGTGGCATACTGTGATAATGTCGGCCTTAGATGCATTGCGATGCACAGCAGTGGCTGGCAGAACAGCCGCTGCCAAAGTGACTTCTCTTTGGTGCTCTTTTGGTGGAACACATGAGCCCAGGGAGGAGCAGAGCTGTGCAAGAGCCGCGGGGCTGAAGCACACGAGCCGCCCTCCGCTGGGCATTTGGATGGCTCAGGCGTGGCCTCGAGTCGCCTTGGGTGCTCCTCTGGCAACTGGCACGAGTGCCCGTTCATGCAGCCGCAAAGGGTTTCTGCAGTCGTGTGGTGGAACCTTCAGGCTCCTATTGCTCAGTCCCTGCCTGGAATGGCACATTTAATCCTGCACTCTGCAGGATTCTGTTCATCCCCCACCCCTTTCTCAGAAGGCCTCTTTCCCCCTTGTACTGACCATGGAGGGGGGCAACTGGTGTTTCAGATGATGTGGCATGTCTGAACAAGCCGTCAGTAAAACCCCGTTCACACACTGGGCCCAAGGATGGGGCCAGTGGGGGAATGTGAATTGGGAGTGAGGCCCGCCTGCCTCTTGCTAGGCATTCTCTATGTCTGTCCACTCATTATAATGTTGATGGCTAGAAGGTGGTACGAACTACGGCAAAGATCTTCAACCTGTAATAGCTGCATCAAATTCACTTGCAGGTTGAAGCTTCTCTGTACCATAAACGAAATTTTAAAGAAGGCAGGGCAATAGTGAAAACAGTCATGAACCCAGCAAAGAGGGGTGAATCTCAAGTAGGTGCTAAGAGAGTATTTATTAATACTGTTAATTGCTGGACATGTTTCAGCAGAAGTCTTTGGTGTGGTGGCTATAAACCCTGGTAGGGGAGGAATCAGATCAAGGAACTACAACATGAGTGTGATACGGAAGGCTGGAACCCCACTCACGGGGACCTTATCGGAATACCAAGTGGATGAAACCGGAAGCTTAGCGATATGCCCTTAGATGCGTTCCATGGAGGCAACATCTGGAATCCTTTTTTTTTGAAAAGGGTGATTAACAACAGATAGATAAAATGAATAATTGTTAAACAGCCTGTCCTCCTTGGCACAAATCCATATACATATGCAGACTATTATGTAAGTGAAACACATACTACTGGGGAAGCAAATCCCCAAAAGGCAACTTTAAGAGCCCTTTAAAATGACTTTAGCATTCTGTTTGAAAAACATAACTATTTGGGTAAATAAATTGCAAAGCTTAGTAACCAAATACAAAAGCTCTCCTTTTCGTTCACCAACTGGAACACTCCCGTGTCAAGAGATGCTTCTGAATTGGTGCTAAATGTGCTGTGGAGAACCGCTGATGAACCGAGGGCCTTCCTTGCCTTATGAGTAGGAACTGCTGGGCTTTTAATTCTCTGAAGCAGAAGCGGCCACACTGTTCTACCTCTGCGCTAGCCTCGCCTTGGGTCTGCGTGGGAGTTTTATTTCATGGCAGGCGTAGCATCACCTGTGCCTGCTTCAGACCTTCCTTGTTCCATCTTGAGATTCCTACATCCTGCAGCCTAGGCTTTCTTTCCTCCTTCCAGCTAAGGATACACGATTCTTTCTCTCCTCTTCCCTCCTTTTGGCTTAGCCTGAGAAAGAATTTTGTCAAGGACGAAAACCTCCTTGCCTCTTTGTGACCTTGTAGGGCTAAACTAGAGGTGACCTCCTATCTTTTGAAGGCACATAACGTCAATTTGGGAATGGAGGGGCTGAAAGTGATTGGCAGTAGAGCAGACAAGATGGGAAAATAGAACATCTTGCTTATAGAGAGTTCCTCCCCTGAAGCTGCTGTTCTTGGGAAGATTCCTCCAGTGGCCAGGGCAAGGAATCTCTGAATGCAGCATGGGATGAGAGGGTTAAGGAACCTCCCCCCTCCCATGTCTGCTGCAAACCTGAGGGAAGTACGTGCTCAATAACTGTGCCAGCCTTCACACATCCATACCAGTAATTGCAAAAAAGAAAAGAGTTTTTAAAAATCAAGTTCCACAATGCAGAATAATCTGTATTTTCATTGAAACCATCTAGGACCGAAAACCTTGAGTTATTCACAGCTTGGTATTATGCAACATGCTCCATTTAAGGAATAGTCCACAGGCCTGACTATTTTGAGCACATCTGGATAGATATTCAGAAAAGCAGAAGTGTTGATGTTGTTTGATAATTATTCCTCACCTCAGTCAACACTTTTGTGATGTGGATTCCTGTTTTATGATTTGATCCATTTTGTATTCTGATAAGTTTTTCTATGAAGGTTGTACAATTTTTTGATCTTTCTGCCTAATGAGAGTTGCTCAATGAAGACGTTTCTCGAAGAACACTGGGAATTTAAATTGTATTAAGAAACTCTCCTTGGCATCTGCTTGAGCTTCTGAGTTTTGTTCCTATTTGGCCCTAATAGTGACTAGCCACAGTCCCCAAAGATGCACCTGGAAGCACCACAAAAGAGCAACCCTGCATCTCTCACAACTAGTAAGTAACAGTGGGTGCAGTTCCAGAAAGGCTGCATGGTTTGGTAGATGGACATCGGGTGTTAAGAGAACAAGGCAAGTCTTGCTGGGTAGATCGAGGAGGCGTCTGGTCCAGCGTTCTGTTCGTGCAGGGACCACTCGGCTGCCCATGGAAAAGCCACAAGTGGACCCCGAGGGCAGGCGTGCCCTTCCACTGATTTCTGCTGTGCCTGAACCACCAGGGGTACGTGGTTCAGGCACAGAACACAGCAGGTCGGGAGCCTTGGCCCAGGCAGCCTCACGGCATCCAGCTATGCGGCTGCTTCTCTGCTGGCATGCGGCCTGCATTCTTCAGCGCCTTTGCATGTGCGGCTTCTTGGCTGTCAACATTTTCTACTCTCTACTGTTTTCAGAGGGTCTGAACGCAGAGTATGTGAAAGGAGAAAACATGGAAGCTGTGGTGACCGAGGAACCACAAGGTGAGATGTTTTTGTGTCCCTGGGGGAAGCTGCTTCATGCTGGGACACTCCCACTGGCAGCTGTGAGATGCTAGTCAGGACCAATCTACCGATTGCTCCGACAGTACACTGTGCATGTGGCGTCCAAAGTAAACTACTCTGCTTGCCAGTACGATGTTTCAAATATTAGCCAGATCTCTTGCAGGAATGTTCGTAGTGGGAAGTGGGAGAAAGCCAAACCGTTCAGGTTGATGGATGGCCGATGTAATTGAGGTTTAAACCATAAACAGCTCTGTTCAGATGACACTATGAAAGCTCTTACAAACAAAGGCAGAATATGGGAGTCTGTTAGAGACCAAGCAGTCCTGATCTCAGAATCACACATGGCATAAATGGAACTAGAAGCTAGGATGAAATAGCGGATAGTGGTTCTCGAAGTTATGACATGAACAGGTCATGCAACCTTTGGGTTACAACTTTGGATGCTTTGGACTACAACTCCCAGGGGTTGTGTGAGTTGTTGTCCAGAATATTTGGAAGGCTCTAGGCTGTCTACCCCCCATTTTAGTCACACTGGAAAGGCATTTTTCTGACACTTCTAATGCGATGTGTCATTGCACAAGCCATGATTAAGGGCTGTGCTCATGCCACTGATCCTCCCTGGATCTTGCGGGGGCAGCAGAAGCGTGAGCAGGTCCCTCCATGGCATCGTGTACGAGAAGAGCCGAGGTGCACAGAGGAAATAACCACAGCAGCGGTAAGCAGAGGGCAGAGGTGGGCATGTTGTGGGCTTCAGCTCCTGCAGCCCCCCTGCTGGTGTGGGCAACGGTCAGGGATTCCAGGGCAGTGAAGTCCAAAACACCTGGGGGACTTCTGTCTTCCTTCCCATCCCAGTCGTATACTTTCAGGCATGTTTGCTCACGTACTTAGTCCTTTCTTCCAGAGACATGGGCTCATGGTGTGCCTTTTCCTTTTCTCTCCCTAGTTAAATATTCTGTCCTCGAGCCGCAGTCGGCAGAACCTCCTCCGCCGCAAGAAAACGCAAAAGTCTGATCCCAGGTCTGGGCTGGAAAAGAATCAGTGGCAACATAGACACACACACACACACACACACACACACGCTTCTCACTCGCTTGTAATTTAGCTTTTTACAAATGTTTGATTTGGATCCAAAGCTATTTAATGTGCGTTCTTCTGTCTAGGACGAGCTTCTTATTGTGGTAGACTATAGGCTGGTTGAAATGTTTTCCTGGTTTTGCTTTCTTTTTCTGTGAAGGGTTGTAGGTTTACATTGACTTGGTCATGTAGGAGTTTTGTCAGGTTAAATACAAAATGCAAGGGGTGCTTCAGAGTGATGTTTCATAGTAGAGGTAGAGAATTTCATGAACAAAAAAAAGCAGCTGGGTTAGTGACTGCAGGTGTGAGAACAGATGAAGTGCCTGTAAATTAACAATCCAAAGCAAACCATTTCAAAAACCTTCAGCTGAATTTTGGCTGTCGGCATAAGTGTGCAGCTTGCACTGACAGCAGTGCAAGTTACGTGGGCGTTGGAGGGTGGAGTTAGCCCTTTAAGTAGCTACACCTCAGACATACCAAGTGCCTGTTACCCTGTACAACTGGGCTTCACTACAGCTATAAGCAACCTTCTTTTCGCCAGCAGAATCCTATGCAGGTGGTAGTATGTATGTATGCAGTGTTTCCTCTTACAAAATCCCGGGAGGTCTCCTGAGGCCAGAATCAACCGTTGACAAGCTTTCGTGCTGGCCCTGGAAAAGACAGCGTTCCCCACTGGGTACAATTCCGTCGATTTGGGCAGAGGGGATGGGTTCTTGATGGTGTTCTCGCTTGCTCCGGGTTCAAGAGCACACTCACAATGCTTAGAAATCACAAACTGCAAGCCTAACTCAAGCGGGTTGGTGCTCTGGGCGAGCGGAGATGGGTTGGGCTTGGATGGTCGGTCTGTCTCTCTCTCTCTCTCTCTCTCTCTCTCTCTCTCTCTCTCTCTCTCTCTCTCTCTCTCTCTC